GCCCTCCCTTCCTCTCTCCCCTCCCTCCCTCCCTCCCTCCCTTCCTTCCTTTTATCTCTTTAGAAAACATCAAGAACCAGGTACAGTGGTGCATGCTTGTAATCCCAGCACTTGAGAGGCAGAAGCTGCAAGTTCAAAGCCAGCCTGATCTACATAACAAGCTACAGATCAGCCAGGGCTACACATGAGACCCTGTCTCAAAACACCAAACAAATACAAAAATTTTTTAAATTGAGTCCTTCCATTTGGATTAGTCTTAACTGAAAAAAGAAAAATAAATAGTTGGATAGTTTTGATTAGAATTGTTAAAATAGAGCCTACAGTAAACAAATAGACACAAAATAGCCATGTCTTCCCCACGTGATGAACTGTCAGGCTTCTGAGTGCAGCTCTGGCTCTAAGTACATCCGGCCCCCAGCCACCTGCCTCCAAGCCTGAGCAGCTGCAGGTGCTGCTGCCTGGTCTTTCTCTTCCCAAACTCTTGCCTTCGCTTCACCTCAGCTATTCAGATCGTGCTCCTCCTTCCTACAGGAAAGCATACTGACCTGGAGGTCAGACTAACCTGGTTTACATCTATGAGGTAGAAACACTTGAAATGGCTCTTTTAATACTCCAAAGATGGTCAGATGTTGGCAGTTTTGTGTAGTTGATACTGATATCAACATGTCACCATCATTATCTCTAAAGTAACGTATTTTAGGTGCCTTATTCCATGCACTTACTAGTCATCGCTTACTGTGGTAGAGTTTCAATTCTGAAAAGTAGCAGGGGCATCTCATTCCAAGTTAGTATGACAAACCTTTCTGAGACCCATCTCTTCTTCCAGACACTGCTTCTATGTTGGGAATATCTGGGGAAGGCAAGTCTCAGGTTAGTGGAACAGACATGTGAGTGGGTGGCTGCCAGGTGGTGGGATATAGGATGAATTCAGCAGGACACCTCAGAGCAGAGGAACATGGGAGACGGGGCAGGGGTGTGGTGAGGGATGCCTTTCTCAGAAGAGATGTCTTGTTGGGTGCTGCAGAACAGATAGCTTGGTGGGGACCTTCCAAACTATGTGTTCAGAGAACCCTAGGGTGGGAGGCATAGCCATGGCAAACATTTTGTGACACCCAGAGTTTTGACAGCCCAAGAGACACTCTTTAGAGAACTAAGTACAAAATTGTCATATAAATACATTTTCAAGATTCCTCCCGGGACATGAAGGTGAGGAGCCCTGATGTTTGAGCTATCTTCAAGCATCTGCCCCTAGCAGGGCCACATGGGGTGGGATGAAGGGTTGTTGAAGAGCAGGGGCATCCCGACAGACAGTGGGAGCCTACTGTAGTATCTTAGATGGGCCAGTGACATCATCAGATTTTGCCTCCAAGCAAAGCACCAACAGCTGTGGGAGGAGCTTATGCGGGACTGCAGAAAACCAATTAGGCTATTTAATCAGTCCAAAGAAGCCAAGTCTGAACCGGACAGAGTTGACCCAACCTCATTTAACAAAAGTCTCTAGGGATGTTACCCCAGCAGGTCTGGTATTCCTGTCCCTAAGCCCGTTCTCAGTTGCGCTAGAAAATGCTTCCAAAATCAGTTCTCCGTTTGGAAATCTTCAGAATTAGCGACAAGACCAGAGGTTTGTCACCCCACATGCCAGTGACAAACCACAGTACCGGCATGCTTAGTCAAGCCCAGTTATCCCTCACGCTTGCCCTACACTATTACAGGCTTTGGTGTCCTGAGTCATGACATCCATCCTCCTTGGGAAATCTCCAGCCCTCACAGTCACACTCTGAGATGTGGCTGCTCCTCAGCTCCCCTCTCTGCTGTCTTCCCATGCTCCCCCAAGTAGCTATTCTCATCTCATCTCCATGTCTTACACATGTGCTTGTTAGTGCATATATGATTCCCTATAATATTTACTTGTGGATGTGTTTATCCTATTTACCACCATTCTCGAGACCCTTGAGGTTAGAACCACATTTCATACCGCTCTTTTCCCAGTAGCTCACAAAGTCCCCAGCAGAAAGCAAGGGCACAGGTTTTAGGCAAGTGGACTTGAACTGGATTCTCTTTCCCTACTTACAAAAATGTAAGACCACATTAACCTAGTCTGGACCTAACTGTGCCTGCCTTGTTAGAGCTATGGTGCCCTGGTCTACCTTGTTTTCTGTTTCACCTATGTTGATGCAAAACACAGTTCTCACCTCAAAGGAAATAGAGATAGCTTATTCTTAAGCCAAATATGAGTGATCATGGCCCAAGAACATGGATTCAGGTTGCCCCAAATAACATGTTCCAAAGTGGAACCAGTTATATGAACTTTTTATAGTCACAATACAAAATAAGTTTTCAGTAAATCAAGGCATTCTCCATATACATTAGTGTGAACATCAGATAGGCAAGTCACAGCAAAATGGGCACATCTATGCTATAGCTTTTAGATGTTACTGATAACGTTCTTAACCTAAATCTTCTACAGCAGCCCGCACTTTGCTCTCTTTGTTTTACTGGACAGTTGATGTGGCTCACTCTTTCTCTAAATCAAAGCTCTATCTTCCACAGCTGCTTGTTATGCAAATATCCTTGGAAACATAGTCCTGAATGAAAGACCGTCAGTATCTCATTCACAAGATGTATAGAAATGCAAGATATCCACTGAGAAGCTAGCTCTCAGTGTTACCCAGCAGCCCATCCATCATGTTTAATCCCTCTTCCCAGCTATGATCTCAAATTTCCTGCTCCAGTTGAACTTCCCAGTATCTCCACTGATAAATTTAAAATGTTTAAGATACAAATAGTGGCAGTTGCCTGTAATTTCAGCACTTGGGAGGTAGAGGCAGAAAGATCAGGAATTTAAGATAATTCTCTGCTACATATGGAGTCAGAGGCCAGCCTGGGCTACAAGAGACCCTGTCTCTAAAACAACAAGCAAATAAACAAATAAATAATATGTCTAAGTGTCTAAGTTATACACCCCTTCCTTTCCTAAATTTCCAGTTTTAGTATCACCATTTTCCTTGTCTCCCCATGCATCATCCCCCAGTTTCATTTTCTTCCTCATCATTCATAACCAATCAAAAGGTTCAGAATCAAAGGCATGATGAATGAAGTGTTTCTGGTGGTGCTCACCCATGTTGCATCTTTGGAGTTCACTGTAGCCTTATCC